ATCTTTTTACCTTTCCTAGGATGTCATACAGTTGCAGTCATGTAAGTATGTGGGTTTCTCAGACTTCTTTCATTAAGTAATGTGCATTTAAGGTTTAGCCATGCCTTTCTGTGGCTTGAGAATTCATTTCTTTTTATTACTGAGTTAATACCCCATTGTACAGACTGCCACAGTTTATTCTTTCACCTTTTGAATGATATCTGAGTTGCTTCTAGTTTTTTGAAATTGTAAGTAAAGCAGATATAAACATTCATATGCAGGTTTTTATGTGGGCACAAGTTTTCTATTCTTTTGGGTTAATAGACCTCGGAGCATGATGGCTGGATCCTACAGTAAGGCTCTGTTTAGCTTTGTGAGACAGCCACACTATCTTCTAATGTGACTGTGCCATTTTGCACGTCCACCGGCAGTGAATGAAGAGTTCGCATTGTTGCATATCCTAACATTTGGTTTTGTCAATGTTTTGGATTTTGCCAATCTAGGAGTTTAGTGCTATTTTATTGTTGTTTTAATCTGCAATTCCCTAGTGACGTATGATGTTAGACATCTTTTCATGTGTTTATTTGCCATCTGTATATCTACTTCGGTGGGGTGTCTGTTCCATTCTTTTGCCCAATTTTTAATTGCATTATTTGGTTTCTTGAGTTTTAAGAGTTCTTTGTATGTTTCGGACACACGCCCTTGGTCAGACGCATTCTGCAAATATTTTCTCCTAGTCTGTGGCTTATCATTCTCTTAATGTCCCTCACAGACCAAAAGTTTTTAAACTTTCATGGATCATATTTTTGGTTTTGTATCTAAAAAGTCATCACCATATCCAAGGTCATCTCGGTTTTCTCCTGTTATCTTTTCTAAGTTTTATATCTTACATTTAGGTCTGAGATCCATTTTGAGTTGAGTGTTTTTTTTTTTTAATTAAAGGTATAAAATCTGTGTCTAAAATTACTTTTTTGCTTGTGGATGTCTAGCTATTCCAGCACCATTTAATGAAAAGACTTTTCTTCCTCCACTGAATTGTTTTTGTTCCTTCGTCAAAAATCAATTGACTGTACTTGTATGGGTGTATTTCTGGGCTCTCTATTCTGTTCTACTGATCCATCTATTATTTTGCCAATGTCACACTGTCTTAATTGTGACAGCTTAAGAGTAAGTCTTGAAGGAGCGCCTGGGCAGCTCAGTCGGTTAAGCAACTGTCTTCGGCTCAGGTCATGATCCCAGGGTTCTGGGATGGAGCCCCGCTCTGGACTCCTTGCTCAGTGGGGAGTCTGCTTCTCCCTACCCCTCTGCCTGTGGTTCCTTCTGCTTGTGTGTGCACTCTCTGTCAAATAAGTAAATAAAATCTTTAAAAAAAATAGTAAGTCTTAAAGTTGAGTAGTGTCAGTGCTTTGATTTCATTTTCCTCAGTATCGTGTTGGCTATTCCGAGTCTTTTGCCTTTCCACATAGGATCATTTAGTCAATATCTATAAAATATTGATTTTGTTTGGTGTTGTGTTGAATCTACAGATCAAGCTGGGAAGAACTAACAACTTAACAATATTGAATCTTCCCACTCGTGAACATGGAATGTCTCTCCATTTATTTAAATCTTCTCTTATCAGAGTTTTAGTTTTTCTCATATAGATCTTGTATATGTTTTGTTAGATTTATACTTGAGTACCTCATTTTTGGGTATGCCAATATAAATTATATATTGTTTTTTAAATTTCAAATTTCAATTGTTCCTTACTAAGTAATTGATTGATATATATATATATATATATATATATATATATTTTTTTTTTTTTTTATGTTTTTATTTATTTATTTGACAGAGAGAGATCACAAGTAGGCAGAGAGGCAGGCAGAGAGAGAGGAGAAAGCAGGCTCTCCACGGAGCAGAGAGCCCAATGTGGGGCTTGATCCCAGGACCCTGGGATCATGACCTGAGCCGAAGGCAGAGGCTTAACCTATTGAGCCACTCAGGCGCCCCTGATTTTTATATATTAACTTTGGATCCCGCAACTGTAGTATAATCATTCAAGAGTTCCAAGATTTTGTCAATTCTTTGGGATTTTCTACATAGACAATCAAAACATCTGTGAATAAAGACAGTGTCATATTCCTTCTTTCCCAATCTTTATGCCTTCTGTTTTCTTGTCTTACTGCATTAACTAGGTTTCCCAGTACAATGTTGAATGTGAATGGTTAGAGGGGACATCCTTGTCTTGTTCCTGATCTTAGGGAAGAACCATCTAGTTTCTCATCAAGTATGGTAAAAACTGTAGGATTTCTGCAGATGTTCTTTATCAAACTGAGGAAGCTTCCCTTTATTCTTAGTTTGTGGTGAGTTCATGAACAGGTACTGGATTTTGAGTCAAACACTTTTTCTGAATCCACAGACATGATCATATGATTTTTCTTCTTTAGCCGATTGATGTGATGGATTACTTTAACTGTTGAATGTTGCACCAGGCTTGCATACCTGGAATAAATCCCATTTGTCTGTGGCATGTAATTCTTTTTATATACCATTGGATTCAATCTGTTAATATCTTGCTGAGGAGTTTTCCATCTGTGTTCATGAGTTACATTGGTCTGTAATGTCTTTTTTATATGTCGACAGGCTGAGAAATCTCAGAGCCATCAGTCAGTTACATGTAAGTGGTCATCAGTTTAATCAGATTATTGTTCTTCGGAAAGCTAAACAACAACTGCAGGGGGCAAAGATATTACCGCACAAAGGGAAAACGTGAAACACTCAGGGATCAAGGCAGTCATCAGCCAGCTGTAGCAGCTCAAGAGCATGAAAACCTTAGTTTATACTATTTTCCTTAGTTCTGAAGTTGTGAATCAGAGGAGGGAGAAGGAAAGAATCAGTCCAGGAAGATGAGGGATAAGATATCTTCTGAGTGTCTGAAAGAAACTATTTTTTGTGTGTGTGTGTGAGATACAATAGCCTTGTCTGACTTTTAACTTAAAAATAATGGGAGTCTAAGCCCCCAGTTCCACACTTAGACACTGTCTTCTGGGTCAAGGATGATAAGCCTCTGTAGCGCAAAAACTTTTCTCTACCCAGATCTGCTCCCTCCCCTTCTTTATCAATTTGACAATTTCAAACAACCCAAGAATTTTAACCACAGAAAACTATCTTCACAATTTTTGCCAACTCTAAATTATACCATTATTTACTTAATAAATTCCATAAAATTATGAAAATTAATCTTAAAAGGAAAATTTTATCTCCAACATTAATCTCTTTTTAAAATATTTTATTTATTTATCAGAGAGAGAGAGAGAGAGCACACACAAGCAGGTAGAGGCAGAGAGAGAAACAGTGTCCCTACTGAGCAAAGAGCCCAATGTGGGACTTGATCCCAGAACCCTGGGATCACGACCTGAGCCGAAGGCAGCGGCTTAACAGATTGAGCCACCCAGGCGTCCCTCTCCATTGTTAATCTTACCAAATACAGATGCTACACACTGACATACACTAAAAACATGACTCCTAAAGTTAAAAATATTTATCCCTCTACCACCTAAAGTCATCTACTGTGCGACTAGTGCTAAATGTGCCCCATACTTTGAGAAATACTCATGAGATCTCCTTCATTTCATAAGTAATGAAGGTGAGGACCAGAAAGTAAAGTGAGCTATTTAAGGTCACAGAGCTAATCAGGAGCTGAGCTGTAGCCAACCCTTTCTCTCTTTCCTCCACAAACAAAAATCTACTCTTCACCCACCTATACTACTATTCTTTCCACTACATCAACTATTTAAAAAAAAAAAAAAAAAAAGGAAGAGGGTATCTTATTTATTAACTTTTTAGTCAGCTTTCTCCAAATTGCCTTTTTTTCTTTTTGGCAGGTTGTCTTACTGGCTCAAAACTGAACTCCCACTGGAATAAAACTGACCTGGCTACGAAGCAAGGACAGGAACACCAAAGGAGAGTAGCCATCTGTCCTGTGCCTGATAGGGAAGAGGGGCTTTACCTGAGGGTTCATGACAGTTGAAAAAAGAATTGGAAAATCATGAGAAGCACCCCCTTCCCACTCAAGGGACAGCTCAGCTGCCTGGAACCTCTGATGTCCTCTGCTACTGGCTCCATATGGCAGAGGACTTTTGGATGGTACTCAGAGTGGTACTCTGAGTGTTCCGCAAATTAACAAGCAATTTTAAAAAAGAATATAAGGTGTATTAAGTGGTTTTTTACGAATGGTATTCTGAGCTTAATGCTGGCCAAAAACAGAGAAATAATTCACATGTGGAAGTGTCAAAAAAAAAAAAAATCTTTAGAGAAGTGAGGATAAACAAAGGTAAGGAAAACTGTCCAGTCTGAAATGTGCTAAACTTAAAGAAAGAAGTTTCAAAAAGTTTACAAAAAGAGAAAAAGTTAATATATTCTGATAGCCATAGTCTCTAGAAAAAACTCCACTGGAAAACAAAATAGTTGCAATATCTGAAAAAAATAGTGGTTTCAGGTAGTTGCCAACAAAAAGGAAAAAGAACAGATAACAAGGTTGAAATACATAGAAGTAGACAAAAGAAGAAGAAGACAAAAACCTGCCCATAAATACCCCCTTATTCTTCCATTCCTCTTTATCCACTCAGATCCTTCTAGGTCCAGCTCATTCCTCCTCCACAAAGCCTTTCTCCTATCCTGACTTAAAATGACTGCTCCTCTTCCGAACTCTATGTACTTGGCAATCATTCATGTGCTGTTTTCTCCCTCCCAATTCAACCCTAGGCTCCGAGACAGCAGCACTCATGTCAGACATAACCTTGGTGTCCCAAGAGTACCTATAAATAGTGCCTCCTGTGGAGTAAATAATTAATATGCACTGAGTCAAGGAAGCCAACTAGAAATCACTGTTCTTAAAGGAAGGGGAGACTAGGGCAGGCGTAAAGAATACAGAATCTGAGCATGCACCATAAATTGTACTACACCCAAATCAATTCAAATCGAGTTACAAGTAGAATCAATAGGCAAAGTTACCTGAAATTGCAAAAACCGTACAGTACCTGCAAAAGACTCTCTATGGCATGAAAACCTCGAATTAAATTCAGAGCTCCACATAAAAGACTGAGGATAAATGCCACAATCCCTGACAGAGTCGCTGGTTCCAGTCGCTGGTGAGCTGGAAAATAAAAGAAATGGTTAGAAATGAACACCATTATTCTATGCCAATACCTAAACTTACGTAAAATGAAATTCACTGCTCAATTTAAATGGGTCAAACATGGATTAATCTTCATAAATTTATTTATTAACATATTAGTAGTTAAATTTTTTTTTAATGCAAAATGTCTGACAACATGATAGCTTCACTGCCCTGAACTCAAAATCAATTAACTTCTTTTTCTCTATATTTTTAACAGACATCTAACGTGCACTTGGGGTATATAGGCTAAGGAGCGCTCACATCTGGCAGTGTATCATGTAAAAAACAAAAACAAAACCAAAAACCTTACTGCCTAAATTGGTTTACCATTTGCAAAGAGTTGCAAGTATTTGCAACGTGAGTTCACCTGAAAGATCATTGCGTAATTCCTACTTTTTCTGAAAAATGCTTAGATAACATTTTTAAGAACAAACACAGCTTGCTTTTTTAAAGCAAAAGTCTCCCTTATTTGGGTTCCAGGTCTATAAATATCACGGGATATAGGTGAAAGCTCCTATATAATCACCAATCTGAACTTCACAATAGAAAGTCTTACGGCTATGAAGTTCTTGATCCCTGAGGACCACTTGAAGACCACTACAAATGATAAAACACTAGCTAAAAAAGCAAGTAACCACTTCAACTTCACAAATGCATCCCCTTATCTGTCAGGGTTTCAGCAATGTAAGAAATTTAGTTATACAACAGTTTCACTTTATCATCATCTTGGGCTTAATAAACAACTGAGTCTAAAGAAAAATACAAAACTAAATACATAATCATCTAGACCTCGAAAAGGCGACAGAGGAAAAGAGAACAAGAGAACTACAGTTAGGTCATTTTATTTAAATCACTGAAGTGTAAAAGCGCTAACAATGAAGTTAATGGGGTGGAACTTTAATATAAAGAAAGGCTTAAATCTTTGCAACTTATATTCAGCCATTACAGCAGAAAAGCTTCCCTAAACAGTTCACAGAAACACAAAACCCCACATATCACAGGAAATTATTTGTTCCTCAAGTTCAGCAGAAAATGCTAAGATGGGAAAAAGTTCCTGAAGTTTCTTCTGTGCCCAAGCTGATTGCTGGGTCTCTCAATCAATTTCCTTGAGATTTTAATATGAAAATAAAAAATTAAATATCTCTGTTAAGTATTGATACCAAGTTTTATAGTAGTAGAGGAAAAAAACCCTCACAATTTAAAAATCTTTCCAACTAGTCTACCAATTAGTCATGTTTTGTATTCCTGGTCCATCCTTCCCCAAACCCTCTCTCAGGAGTAAGGGAAAGCTGGCTTCTAATAAAAAAAAAAAGAAATCCTTAATATGGGCCTCAAGCGTAATACCGGACAACTAAACAGATTACATAAATCGTACTTTGAAATATACAAGTTTACCTTACAAAAAAACCCAAATAATATTCTGTATTATAACTAAAAAATATTAGCTGTTTATGGTCAAGTATAGCCATTCTTGAATGGGAAAATATTACCATTTTAATGTGTTGATCAATGTTTAAGAAATAAATAATAGGACTATATAAATTTTCTAATATTTATCTCTTGGCCTTCCAGCACTCTTTATAATTATAATATACCATTTGTTATTATTAAAATTATTTCAAAATGAACAGAAATATTTTTAAAAGCATAAAAGCAAATGACAATTCTCTTTTAACAAAGACAGCACATGTATTATGCTGCAGGAGAGGCTGGAGCTGTGCGGAATCACTGTGGGAAAGAAATTCTCAAGTGGAGATTCACCCACTCCCACCCTATTTCCTTCCCTAGGACCTGTGGAAATGGTTACCAAGAGAAAACTCCATCTGCATACAACACAAGGGTGATACTCCCTAAGGACAATTTGTCATGTCAACAACTGAACAAGATATTTAATCACATTTTAATGTATTATACGATATCTGCTACTTTCTATTTCAGTAAAACAAATTTTAGATTCATTGTTATCCACAAATGCTTACTTGACACTTCAATCTGGCACCATGATAGGTACTATTAGGTTAAAGTGGATTTGGAACAGTAACAAATGAGAGGCAATGTGGAAAAAAACTTACTGAATCCAAAAAAGTGTTACCTGGTCAATTTTTGTTTTGTTTTTGCTATTATTATCTTTTGCTACAACACCATTTCTTTACTTAGCCTCTTTGAGCCCAATAATGGCATTTTCACAAAATTAAATTTTTTATGAACCAGTAATTAATGAAGTTTAGACAAGTTCCTAAAGAAGTAAATCTTTTGGAACCAGAGGGCTATTGCTTATAGGGAATTAAGTATTTACTCAGCAAATACTTTTTAGCATAATTCTGTGTAAGATGTCAAGCTTTAGAAAATACAATAAATGATTTGCATAACCTGCCCTCAAGATACTTCTAGTCTTTTGAAGGGAAAAAAAACAGATAAGCCTGTGAAAGTAATAAGCATTCTAAACTAAAAGAGTTAGACTCTGAAGAGGAGGAGAGCTGGGTGGCTCAGTCCATTAAGCATCTGTCTTTGGCTCAGATCATGATACCAGGTTCCTGGGATCAGGTCCTGCACTGGGCTCCCTGCTCAATGAGGAGTATGCTTCCCCCTGCCCTGCTCCTTGTGCTCTCTCTGTCAAATAAATGAATCTTTTTTAAAAAATAAAGAAAAGAAAAAAGGAATTCTGAAGAGGAAAGATAACTAAGGAGAAGGTGGTGATACAGCAATGGTAAGAAAACCAAGGAAGATCTTTAAAGATGGCTAAAATTTAGACCCGCACGAATGGGAAAAACTGCACTGCTGCAGAAGAGAATGTGAGCATGGAGGTGGAAATGAGATGCAAATAAGAGCATGAACAACAACAACTACAACCACCTCTGCCAATCCTACGAACAGTGTCTGTTCTCAATGAACCAGGCACAAGTGCTTATATACATGATCTCATGTCACCCCTCCAGGAACCCACTGCAGTAGGTACTAGAATTATCCTTATTTTTTTAGATGAAACTAAGGTTGGGGGGGATTAGATAATTTGCCCAAAGTACGTAAATGAATGGGGGATTTAAACCCAGGTAGCCTGACACTAGACCTCATGTTCTTAACCACTCTGCCACTGGGCACTATTACTGGTTCTGTTTGGCTTAAAAGGATATTTATGAAGACAGGAAGAAAGAAGGTAAAAAAAGGGGGGTTGAAACAAATTAATAGATAGTTGTAAATACTAGACTAAAAATTATGAACAAGTTAGACAATGGGGAAACCCTGAAGAGCAAGAGACCAATATGGTTAATGCTATGCTTAAGGAATATTAATCTATCAATGGGCTGTAAGGAGATTAAAAGCAGGAAGACAATATTTTCTCAGTGCTTTCTTAGTAGGTACACTTTGTCCCACTTATCCTTCAAAATGAGGTACTTCATAAGGCAGGAATGACTAACTTTCAGTTTCTGAATTTTTTCATCTGTCAATGGAGGCTAAATAATTTGCTGTAAGTCAGACAGCTAGTAAGTGTCATCTTCACAATTAGCACTTGGGTCTGTAAGACTGCAAAGCCCATGCTATTTCCACAAATACACCTTAGGGATTCATTGCAAAAGACTGGCTGATAAGAGGGCCTGAATTTGGACAGTGACAGCAGGAATAAAGAAGAAAGAGGTGAGTGATATCACAGGGGTTAAAACTACTAGACATGGCAACTAGTTAGATATGGGAAACAAAAGGGAAAAAAATTTTTTTAAATGTCAAGATTTTAAGTGTGGGTAATTAGAAAGTTAATGGTGCTACCAACAAAGACGCTGGAAGAAACTCAGCTTTGATCAAGAACGGAGATTTTTCTTTTTTTTTTTTTAAAGATTCTATTTAGGGGCGCCTGGGTGGCTCAGTGAGTTAAAGCGTTTTCTTTCGGCTCAGGTCATGATCCCAGGACCCTGGGATCAAGTCCCGCATCAGGCTCTCTGCTCAGCAGGGAGCCTGCTCCCCCCTCTCTCTGCCTGCCTCTCTGCCTACTTGGGATCTCTCTCTGTCAAATAAATAAATAAAATCTTTAAAAAAAGAAAAAAGATTCTATTTATTTATTTGACCGCGATAGACACAGCGAGAGAAGGAACACAAGCAGGGGGAGTGGGAGAGGGAGAAGCAGGCTTCCTGCTGAGCAGAGAGCCTGATGCAGGCTTGATCCCAGAATCTTGGGATCATGACCTGAGCTGAAGGCAGACGCTTAATGATTGAGCCACCCAGGTGCCCTGAGAATGGAGACATTTTAAACATATCAAACTTGTAGTGATAATGAGACATGTTTAATAAGCAATGAAAGAGTAGCAGAGCTGGAGAAACAGATGTGGTTTGTATCTGAAAGGAAGGGCTGGGATGAGATTACTAGAGAAAGAAGTAGCCCAAGGGCAAATCCTGGGCAAATCTTTGGTAAACAGTACCTTTGCAGGGAGGACGAGGAGTCAGGAAGACAGATTTAGGAGAACAAGAGGAGGAAAGAGCCTCAGAAGCTTAGAAAGCGGAGGCCATCCAGAAGAAAGATATGGATAACAATGCCTGTGGACAAGCCAAAGACAGTTTGAACTCAAAATGAAAAAAAAAAAATTAGATTTATTGACTAAAAGATGGTTGTTGACCCTTTATAAAAACAATTTCACAAGAGTGAAGGCAAAATTTAGACTGCAAGAGGCTACATAACTATTGATGGTAAGAGAGAGAAGCAGTAAGTGAATGCTACTGCCTCTAAAGAAAACCAAGATGACAGCGTGACAGACTAGGACTGAGAAACAATAATTTTTCCCCTGTAATGTGGTGGAGGAGGGAGATTTAAATACATTTATAGGTAGAATGAAAAAATTCAGTGTAGAGGAATCAGAAGAGTCAAAAGAAAGGGAAAATGATGAAAGAGAATACCAGAAGAAGCATTATGAAGATTCAAAATGATGGTAGTATTCTAACCTTCAAACCTCCTCATAATACCACAGTGCCTACGCTTTGGGCAAGAACGA